GATTCTATGATCACTTTTACATTTAGGTCATAGAACCTATATGTCTCACTGTTTGCTTCACACCTAATGAACACACATTCATAGGCTCTATTAGCAAGTTTAACTCGCTTCGTATCCTGAATTCTGACATATGCCAGACAAACCCAAGTTCTTAAATAAGACAACTTTGGTTGTCTTTTCTTTAATATCTCATAAGGAGAGATATTACTTTTTAACTTGGGAACTCGATTCAGGACATAGCAAATAGTCAACAAAATTTCCCCCACCAGTGAGAAGCAACACCAAAATTTAATATAATTGCAACAACAAGTTCAATAAGAGTTATATTCTTTCTTTCTGCTTTACCATTCATTTCAAAAGAGTATGGTGCAGTCATTTCATGTACAATTCCATGTATAAAATTCATCAAACAAACTAGAATCATATTCAGTTCTCCTATCACTACGAAGTCTCTTAATCTTCTTACTAAGTTGATTCTCAGTTTCAGTTACATACATCTTAAACATGTGAAGTGCTTCATTTTTATTCTTCATTAAATATACATAAGTATAATCAGAATAATAGTCAATAAAATAACATTTACTATTTCTAGTTAAAGTTCCATGTAATTCACATATACCATAGTGTATAAGGTCTAGGGGATCAGATCCTTTAATAATTGATTTTTAAATTCTTTACAAAGTTTTTAAACATATCAATTTCATTCACAAAAATGTCATTCTTTGTAATGGTGTACAAATCTACCCCAATGGACTGACTAAACTATGCCTTATATAAAAGAAAACCAGAAACAAAATTCTTCCTAATCTCAAGAACATGTATGACGTCCTTCGAGATTAAAGTCTTTCTGGAGGTGAAATTCAACTCCATTTCTCCAATTCTAGCAACATTAGTGGTGTGGACATATCCCAACAACACTTTCTTATCTTTAGTATTCGTGTATGTTTTAAACATAACACGATCATAACAGACACGATGAGAAACACCAGTGTCTATCCACCAATCATCAAATTCATCAACCGTGTTGATTTCAATTATCATAGAAATAAATTTCCCATTAGTCAGTTTGACCTATGCATTAGGGGTAGCACCAGGTTCAAGCCTCTTCTACATTTCTTAACCTTACGACATGATTTTCCATGGTTAAAACAATGGAAAACAACATCATTTCTTTGAGGTGGTGATTGTTGCCTAGTTGGAGCAATTGAGACCATAGAAAGGATCTCATTCTTAATTCGGATCACAACATTGCAGTTCTGATTCTTTAATCATTTTCCAAATGGCTTCAGAACTACACCGAATTTTTATTTGTTGTTTAAAACAACCAAGACTTTTCTTCTTGATATTGTCTCTAAGATTCCTCTTTTTTTTAACTCAAGGAGAATAATCAGATTCTAAAAAATACATCTAAATACATACCTTTAGTGATGACCTCATGAGAATTCTTTTTGAAGTTCATAACTTTGAGTATCCACAGATCTTTCATCTACCATCTGATACTTTTCGTAGTTGCTAAAATCATTCTTTTGTTCTCCAGCTTCTTCAATACTTGTTTTTCATAGCCTCGTAAACTTGTTTTGGAGTATCGCAATTATTGTAATAATCATATAGATCATTTGCGAGTCCATTTAGAATGTTATAATCATTCTCTTTCTATAAGGAGATTTCTTCCTTTAGCTGTAAATCCTTCTCTTTAATCTATGTTGTAAATTCAGATTCATTGAAATTAATAATTCAATCTAAGTTCATAGATTTCTTTCTATTCGTTTGTTCAACTGATCCAAGTGGAACAGTAGGAATGTCATCGGTCAAAATATTGACAAACTTCTTTATGGTTTGGAAAAACCTCACTTTTGTTGCCAACTTTTGAAATGCACTCCTTCAAACTAGAACGGTTTGTCCGAGACAATCTTAGAAGTACCGATAATTTCTTCAATAGCCATGGCAGTTTGAAACGTCTTAAAATTGTTGGTTCATGATTTTAAAAATGTTGCCACTGAAGAAATTACCGGGTTGAGTCGCGAATCAGTTCGCTCTCTTTAAGACGTTTCGCGGTACTGCCCAAAATTATGCAAAGCAGTCGAACTACCACGCCGCCTCCAGGATAAAACAGCCCAGTTCTATACTGTACGATTACTACTTGCACGATAGATAGTCGGTCTAGAAATACACCCTCTAATGGTACTAAGACCATTCAAATATGGTATAAATACCACCGTAGTATCTGATATATTTACCAGTCATAAATATTTCTCAAACCAAGAGAAATTTCAATAATTCTTCAAAGAGAATTCAATAATGATCATTTTTGATCACTCAAAGATTTCTCAAACAAAGAGAAATTCGAATAATTCTCTAAAGAGAATAAAAAATTATACTTGAAAATTTCTCAACTCAAACGAGGAGAAATTAACATTATTCTCTATAAAGAGAATTCAAGAAAATACTCGGAAAATTCAACGAGTAGAAAGAAAGGGGAAGAAGTTGGCGCTTCGACAATTCGAAAGACGCAGAGTTATGAGAGTGAGGAAGGAAAAACTAATAAAATGTTTTTGGTGTGTTTTGTAAGGAAACAAGTGACTTCCTTATATAATAAAGTGAGATGGTTAATATTTCTCACATGAGCAATGTGGGACTAAATGAATAAATTTTTTTTAATTCAATATGGAACATGGACATGTTCCAACACCATTGCTTTTGGTGAGGGTGGTCAGAAATAAAGACAAAATTTTAGCAATCTCTTGGTCTCTCACACCCGAATTCGAATCGAAACCCCAAATTCACTAAACCACCACCATCATCATTTATTTTTGCTTAGAAACTAAAAATCCTAAGCATACAAAATCAAATTAAATAGCTAACAAGCAGAGTTAGAAGCAATTAAGTGAGGGAAAGAACATGGAAAAACATGAAAAACAAACCTAACTGGAGCTAGTCGGGTATGACCTCCACCTCCAGCGACATGCATGTCTCCTTCTGCTACTGTTTCTTTCTTTGGGTTGGACTTTTATGTTCTGCTACTGTTTCTTTCTTTGGGATGCATGTTGAAGGTTACACCTGATAAAGCTTCAATTTGAAGCGATGGTATTGTGGAGGAAGTGCTCTGAATTTTGTATCATTTTGTTAATCGTTTCTCCCCGCTCGTTATATAGAGGAGATGAGTGTGAAATTAGAGGGAATGGAGAGTGATTGGGATGAAAATAGAAGGGGGGAAATGGTATTGATCTGAGTGAATGGATAAAAATGGGGTATGACAAGGAGCATTTAGAATTTGAAAGTTCAAGAGCGGATAATGACAGTTGGTTGGCTACTAGGACATGATAGGTTACTTACCAACCATCAAAAGAGTTTAAAAGGCATGGGAGGAGAAAGTGTAATTATGAAACAACGTCTTTGCAATGCTAGACGTCTTTGGAGTAATATTAAGCCAGATGAAATCAAGGTGGGATTCTATACTGTAGAGACTAATGATTGGATAGTTTTGAGTGAAGTAGAATTTGGTTCATGGGGGTGGCGTAATAAGGATATGAGATACATTTTCTCCCTTCTAGCTATATGTATGGTAGGATAAATGAATATGACGAACCGCTCATTAACAAAGGTGTCCTTATGAAAAGATAAAGTAATGAGATTGTAGTGCGCCACCTAAAGAGGTTAGTAGTGTTAATAAAGGAGTTGGATCTAGAGGCATCATTCGTGATATCAAGGGAGAGTGTAAAGGTGGTTTCTATAAAAGTGTAATCATTTGTGAGCAGAGTTTTGGGGTTTTTGGAGGACTTCAAACAAACGAGGGAACTTGAGTTTTGGGGTTTTTGGAGGACTTCAAACAAACGAGGGAACTTGGTTGGAGGAAAGTTGAGGTTTATGTGGATTCATAGATAGTTGTTAAAGCGATAGAAGATGGAGGAGCTAAAGGCGTGAGCTAATTCTTGTGCTGATGCTCTAGCTAAATTTGGAATAGATAGCATGAATGTTATAGTGATTCGAGAAGATGCTCTTGAATTTCTAAGGTTATAATTGTTGAGAATCAAGTGTGAGGAAGAAGTCTCACATTGATTATAAAAGGGAAGATTGAGCACTTATATATGAGAGAACCCACTCATCTATGACCTTAAGGTTTTAGATGGACAAGTGGTGTGTCTCTCACAAAGGTGTGTCCCAAGTAAAAATGCTCTCTCCTCGGAATTGCCCCTACAGTGGTATCATGAGCCTTTGGTTTCGAGATAGGGACCGGCTTACTTGTATCGAGCGATGGTACAAGTGTATGTGGAAGAGAGTGAGAGAACCCACTCATCTATCACCTTAAGGTTTTAGATGGACAAGTGGTGTGTCTCTCACAAAGGTGTGTCCCAAGTAAAAATGCTCTCTCCTCGGAATTGTCCCTACAATAATATATAGGGATGTTGTGAGAACTGCTTTCTCTAGAGCAGTTGTGTAATTGTTTTCTTTTTAGACGAAAGCCCTCTATTTAATAAAAATAAATAACTAATACACATAATAATTAAAAATTAATTAGAGTTTATAAATGACCTATCATTAGAGACTCTTCATACTTCAAAGACAAAAGAACTACTCAAACACAATCGTAAACAACACAAAACAGATAAATGAGAACATAGAAAAAGAAAAAAAAAATATAAAATAGAATTTGATTACTCACAAGAAAAATTGAAATTATCCAAGAGTTAATCCTTTCACAAATGCCAAAAATCTCACATAAATATAAAAATTGCGAGGGGATTGGTCCCCTAGTAAAACAGGGGTCGCAAATTGATTTGTAAGGGGTTTTCCACGTCGCAAATTGATCAAATCTATGTGTCCGTTCATTTGCAATTCACACTGCTTCTTGATACTCCAGTGCTTGCCTCATCATTTTTTCCTGCAACTTTGTTTCTCTTCTCTGCATTTCTTGTTGCATCTCTAATTGTTTTCTCTTCATCTCTTCAATTTCTGCATTTCTTGCTTGCTTGGAGTCTGTCTAGTTTCAAACATTTCGGCGGTTAATATGGTGGAGTTGATGTTCCTTCTCCATCAGCAAGTCTCATTCTGAAACTCCTATCACGCCGCTTGATAGTTTTGGCGTACCCTCCAGGACCATACGCTCTTCTATTTTTCTTCTTTCCACCTGAAACATCATAACATGTCCGAAAATCCACACCATGGTCAACAGGATATCCTGGTGGTGGTTCAGGTAATTCAGGATGCTCTGACAACTTTAGAACAAGTTCTCTATTAAACTCGTCCTATCAAAAAATTAAATGTTATTATGATTCAAATAAGTTAGGTACATATAAAAGAAATAAATAAAATGTCTTTAATATAAGAAAAACTTACTTGAGTGATTCTTGTGCGCTCGTCAATAAAATCTCCATTTCTCTTTAGATGAGTCTCCATATAGAGTTCGTTAAGAAGTGGAGTTCTATCCAACTATTTACGCTAATTAAATAAGTAAAAAATAATTAGTTATACGTAATATAAAAGCTAAATGATAAATTAATTAAAAGTTCAGGTGTAGTTGCAGTAACAAACGGACATGCATTGGCCAAGTGGAAAAGAGAGTGCCCCAATCCCTTATGACTTGGGTTTGATCTTGCAATGAATTTATTGGCTTTTTCTCAAAATTCTTGTATTCTTAATAATTTAATATAATTTGAAATAAAAAAAAATATTATGTGGAAATATAAATAATTTAAAATAAATATAATAAAGCCATGTCAGAATTTTTAAATTTAAATTTTTAAAAAAAAAGTCTAGTCAGTGCGCCAAATAAGCATCATGCGTGTGTCATTTCACTTCAAGGTTTAAAACAATAGAATCTTCAAATGGCAAGAGTGTTTTTACAAAATAAAAAAATTATAGAGGATAAAATTAGAAGTCTCCCATATGACAGGGGATAAAATGGTATTAACCCAATAAAGTATAATCATGAATATCTCAAAAAATATAAAGGAAATGCAATGAGTAAGTCAATTATACCTGAAATGCCTTAAACAAGTCTTTCACGTCAACTTCAAATACAACTCCATAAGTCAGATATTGTCTGATGTGAGGGCAAGATTCTAAACACCAAAATCTTGAGCTTGTATTGATTAAATAAAACTCAAATTTAAAATATAATATAAAACATAAACACTTATGATCCTGAATCAGGCCAAATGATAAGACTGCCATGATGATATTTAATTTTTTGCGGTGCATTTATTCTCAAGATGCGCTCCCTCTCCGTTTGCTCCTCAAGAGCACTGTATCTCCTTGAGCATTGGTATCTCTAGGAGCACTGGTATCTTCAGGAACCCACTTCTTCCATGAAACATTCTATCATACATCTAACTACGATAAAATTGATAATATTTCATACTGTACATATACAACGTTGTTCATGTTTAATTTTATTAAATAAAAGAGGTAGTGATCTATCGATAAATTTTAAATTTTTGTCGATAACATCATATAACTAGTTATACATTTGATATTATTCAATACAATATATCTACTCTAATTAAACATTTTTGCATACAATATATCTATCTAATTTTAATAATGTTTTTGAAAATTATTTAACCATACTTTTTAAATATATTTAACCAAACAATTTATCTACCTATTTATTCTAATTAAACATACTTTTTAGATATATTTAATCATGCAAATATACTTTTTAAAAATATTTTTTGTAAATGAGTATATAAATATATTTACTATATTGTACTTTCTAATAAATACTTTTTCTTATAAATATATTATTTCTATTGGTCATATATTTATTCTAATTAAATATATAAACACTTACAAACATAATTTTTTTATAAATACACATAACAACATATTTGTTATAATTTTAGAAATATTATAGTTTATATTATATTTTTTATAATGTTTTCCAAAATTAAAATTTTTTTTAGAGTGGTTTTTTATTATGTCTTATAGTGTTTTTATAAAATAATAATGTTTTAACAACTCTGTATTTTAAAAAGATATATTATTTAAAATATAAGTTTTTATTAATATTATTTTAATAATATTGTTTTTAATAGTATTAATTTTTAATAATATTGTTTTTAATTAATTATATTTAATAATATTATTTTTTAAATAATAGTTTTATGATGTTTTTTCTTTAAAAATAATTTATATTTTAATTAATTATATCTATCAATTTATAAAATTGGTTTTTAAAAAAATATTTATTGAAAAATCGTATTAAAAATAATACTATTTTCTAACAATATATTTAAATTGTTTTTTAACTACTATTTTTAAACTGTTTTCATAATACTATTTTATAAAAATGATAATACTTTTTCGAATAATACATTTTATTATTAAAAAATATTAATTTTTACTATGTTTTTTATTCTATTTTAAAAAAAATAGTATTGCTTTTATAAATAAATTGTAAAAATTAGCATACTATTTTCTAATTATTTTTAAACGGTTAATAAACAATATTTCAGTTAAAATATTAAACAAAATATAAGGACACAATTTTTTTTTAAATTACCTTGAAGATGAACACTTTTTAATGGAATCTAAAATTAAAAAACAAAAATTAGAATCTTTAATAAATATGTTATATAAACAAAACAATATAAATTAGACATAAAAATAAATATAATGAAAGATTTTTACCTTTAAAAGATGAAGTTTTAGATGAAGATTTGAAGATGGGGTGTTTGATGAGATGAATATTGTTCTATTTGAGAGAGGATGATTAGAAGTGTTTGAGAGGAAGAGGATAATAGATCTGATACAAAACAAAATGGTTGAGGGATATATATAAAGCAATTGGCGAGGGGGCACCCTACACAACCACCCTCAACGGTCATTAATTGTCAGGAGCTGCCCCTCGCAAAATGCAAATTTTTTCCAACGCAACCTATACGCTTGTACACGAAGCGATGATGTCATTATGCAACAGAATCTTTTGCGAGGGGTGCACCACGCAAGATTAACATTCTTATTTAGCTAGGGGTGGCCCCTTGCAAAGTGTCAAAGAATCTTTTGACCCCTTGAAAAAGCCTGACACACGAAGCGGTGAGCTGAATTTTGAATGGGATATAAGTTGAATTTTGCAAGGGGTTACCCCACACAATGGCTACGATTAACTTTTGTGACGTTATACCCCTCGCAAAATGTAAAGCGGAGAATATTTTCAAAATTCAAAAGTCCCTCCATTTATTTTGCGACGGAGCTCCCCACGCTAGGTTTTTTTAATTTTATTTTTTGATTTGTGGTTTGCGAGAGATTTATCCCTAAACAACATTTGAAATTAGTGAAGATAAATCACCTCACAATATCATGTGGCTAATATCACTTTTTCTTGTAGTGACTATTATGAAGAAATTAAATTGCAAATAGTACAAAACGACTACAAGAGTTTTTTTAATGAAATATGGTATAAAATGGTGTTTTTTCTAAGCAATTTTTACGCATTAGTTAAAGTCTTAACATCCATTAAGAACCATAGAATTCGAATGGCTGAAATGAATTCAACAAATAAAGATGCCGCCTATAGAAAAACACAGGAAACACAACCATGTCGGGCAACATAAGATGACTGTGTTTCTTCGCAAGGAAAACATGATTATGTTGATTAATACTATCAGGTCGTATTCTTTAAAACACACAAAATAACACAACACAATTTTAGCGTGAAAAAATCTTCGTTAATTATGAGTAAAATACCACGGGGTATGCAGGTCACTTAATATCTCCACTATAATCAAAAATTGGTACAAGTAAGGTTCTATCTAACACTAGTTAGAGACATACATAAACATCATCAAAATCTACAATCAATATTGGAATACAACAAGAATTAAGAGAGACAAACAACCCAAAAAACATCAAGAATTTCGCACCTCACAAATGGACTCGGTAGACAGACTTAGAAAACTCAATTTGATCTCCACCATTTAGAATGTACTCCTATGAGTCATGAATATTGTGATAAAATTTCACGACGAACCAACGTTTGAATTGTGTGCAAGATCCGATCTCGTGAAGCTGATCTGTGTTGAAATGGGGCTGCAGGATTTTCACTTTTCTCTCTACTTTCTTTTGTTGTTTATCACACAATGAATAATTGGCCTAATTCTCTTTTTTGCATAATAACAAAGTCTTACACACACATGAGCTACTAACCCACATTCATTTTACCAACTCTAAATATGAGGGATAGTCCAACAAATTCCCCTGACCAACTAGTTAGAGGGAAACACCAACCCGACTTCCATACGACAAAACTCAAACTTCCCCTAGGCAAACCCTTCATCAACATATCTGAACCATTATCAACAGTGTGAATCTTCTCAAGCTCCATCAACTTGGAATCTAATGCATCACGAATCCAATGATAACGAACATCAATATGCGTCGACCTTGAGTGAAAGGAGGAACTCTCCGATAAGTGAATAACACTTTGATTATCACAAAAAAAGACATGTTTGTCTTATTTCACACCAAGTTCCATCACAAATTTCCTCAACCATAACAACTCTTTTGACGCTTCAACAATGGCTATAAACTTAGCTTTGGTAGTAGATAGTGCAACGCACTTTTGCAATTTTGATTCCCATGCCACATATCCAATGGAAAAGTCACCATATACCCCAAAGTGGATTTTCGATCATCTAAGCTTCCGGCTAGATCCAAATCCGTATACCCAACCAACATAGAATTCTTACATCCCAAGATTAGCTTCAAATTTGATGAGCCACACAAATATCTCATCACCCACTTCACAGTCTTCCAATGATCTTTTCGAAAATTTGAGAGATAAGACTCACCATTCTCGCGGCATGAACAATATCGGGTCTTGTACAAACCATAACATACATCATACTACCAGCGACCGAAGAGTATAAAATGTTCTTCATACTCAAATTTTCTCCATCCATAGATGAACATAGTTTATGACTAAGCTTGAAATTAGAAGCAAGTGGAATGCTCATCGCTTTAACCTTATACATACTAAAACGTCGAAGGACTTTCTCCACATACATTTCTTGTTATAAGTACAACTTCTTCTGATTTTGAACTCAAACAGTTTTAATACCAAGAATTTTTCGATTCTTTCTTAAATCCTTCATAGAAAAAGATTCACTAAAAGTGTTCTTCAACTCTTTAATTCTTGAAATATTCTTTCAAACTATTATCATATCATCCACAAAAAGCAAAAGAATAATGAAATCACCTTCAGAGAAATTCCAAGAAAACACACAATGATTGGCCTTGGTCATTTTGTACCCATGTTCAATCATCATTGAGTTGAACTTTTGATACTTTTAGCGAGGTGCTTGTTTCAAACCATAAATACTTTTTACAAATTTGCAAACATAGTCTTCTTTTCCCTTCTCTCAGAATCCATCTGGTTGCTCCATGTAAATTTCTTC